GAGACAATGGGAGACAAATGAAGGGGGAGAAAGGGAGACGCGTGAACTCGTCCACCCAGAGACAACGAATGAAAGGAGACAAAGGGAGACAAAATGAAACGCAGAGAGCCGTGCCAGACATTCAGGCCAGGAGACAATGGGAGACAAATGAAGGGAGACAAAGGGAGACAAATGAACCCATCCACCCACAGAGCCGTGCCAGGCATCCTGGGAGACAACGGGAGACAAATGAAGGGAGACAAAGGGAGAGAAAGAAACCCGTCCACCGAAAGATGGGAGACAAATGAAGGGAGACAAAGGGCAAATGAACCCGTCCACCCAGAGAGATGGCAGGCGCCCAAGAAAACAAATCCAGGCAGACAAACGGAGACAAATGAACCCGTCCACCCAGACAGCCGTGGGAGACGGGAGACAAATGAAGGGAGACAAAGGGAGACAAATGAAGTTGACTGCTGGGAGCCCAATGACTAGCGAGATTTTTTCATCGCGCCATTTTGGCAACGGGGTCTGATGCTGATCCTAAGAAACTGCAGGACTCGTCCGAAGTCCGAGAGTATTATGCGCTCAGTAGCCAGGTGTCTTTGAACCCTTTTTGTGATGGCTGTATTGGTTTGAAATCGAATGTTACGATTGAATGCTTTTACAACAAGGATTTTGGTAAGAGTGGACCAGCTGACGGCGACACATTTGCAACTCTCGACGCTGGATGCCAGAGACTCGCGGTCGGATTCAACACCCTTGAGAAGTATGCGTCCAAGCTGCCACCTTTACGAGTTACCCTTCACCCTGAAATCAATCGGTTTCGCAGTATCCATGGAATATCTACTTCTCATCATGTTGCATCAGTGCCGACCAGCTTAGGAACCAAGGGAGCTTTTTTACGACCTGCTGTACTCAAGAGCCAAGATGCCTGTTTTCTATTTCTCTTTCATTTTCTGAGCCACTGCAAGGCCATGATTTGTCTTGACAACGACCAAGGAATGACACTCCGTTTGCGCGGGACAACCGTACCACGCCATTTAGGCCCAACCAGAGCTCTTCGGGTACCATTGCAGGAATTTACTTCCGCATGGGTGAAGCATCTTGCATCCGCCCAACAAAGTACCGAATGTATGCCAACTTCCGAATTTGAGATCCTAAACATCCAGAAATTTGATGAGCCCTGCCCGGACTTTTCAGTCTTCTCATGGATTTGAGGACGCTCCGGGACAAGGTGGATGCGGAAATTCGGAAACAGGAGGATGCGCAGACGATGTCAGACGACGAGTACAGTCTGATCACCGAGACCTCGACCGAACGCGAACCGAGGGGGTCGAGCCAGACCAAGAGTTTCATCCCGGAGAACCACGTGCGCAACTTGGACAAGATTGACAGGTACCAGGTACTTTTTGGAGAACCTCCACTATGCCATTGCCCAGAACCTTGCAAACTCTGGCTGTGTCGGGGAAGACCGGGAGGAACTTCGAGAAGGCGTTCTTTCGATGTTATCAGAGGATCAACCACCAATGCCAGTTCTTCAAATGGACCACGAATGGAAGCATCGAACTCAGCCAGAAGAGAGGCCAAAGACCGTCGAGGAAACCTTGAAGTCCATGACTCAGGAAAAGATCTACCAGCACGCCACGTACACGATCAAGAAGATCCATAAGAACAGCAAGCAGGTCTCGAAGCACCAGACGAAGAACCCGGAAGAGACCTACGGCCAGAGCGACTTCGAGGAGTTCCTGAAATTCAAGGAGTGGCAGAAGAGGAACCAGCAGAAATGAGTGAAGGTCAATGTGATCTCACAGCAAAGCATCGCCGAAAGGTTAAGGCTGGTATACAAAAGACTGTTGCTTTTTGAAAGCAGTCTTATGTTTCAAGACGACTGCAACGATGAGGGCGCGTTAGCATGGGTTGAGTATTTTTGGCGATGGAATGTTACGCTGTGCAGTGAACTAGCAATTCATCCGAGCTGAACCAAGGAAACCAGAGCCATTCCAGGCGCTATGGGACTGACGCACAATCAGTTGCTTAAGACAAAAGAAGGGAGACAAGGGGAGATAAATGAACCCGTCCACCCAGAGAGCCGCCGGCATCCTGGCTGGCAGACAACGACAGACAAAGGGAGACAAATGAGAGACGTGCCAGGCATCCAGGCATGAAGGGAGACAACGAGGCTGGGGAGACAGAAGGATGGGCGACAACGGAGAAATGAAGGGACAAAGGGAGAGTGGGGGTGACTCAGAACTGGCATTGCTGGGCATTGCTTGCTTGGCTTGCTTGCTTGCTTGGCTTGCTTGGCTGGCTTGCTTGCTTGGCATTGCTTGGCATTGCTCGGCGTTGCTTGCTTTGTATTGCTTGCTTGGCATTGCTTGCTTTGCATTGTTTGCTTGGCTTGCTTTGCGTGCTTGGCTTGCTTGCTCCGAAGCGCTTGCTTGGCATTGCTTGCTTGGCTTGCTTGCGTGCTTGTTTCATTGCTTGCTTGGCTTGCTTGCTTGGCTTGCTTGGCTTGCTTGCGTGCTTGCTTGGCATTGCTTGCTTGGCATTGCTTGCTTGGCATTGCTTGCTTGGCCTGCTTGCTTGGCTTGCTTGCTTGCTTGCTTGCTTGCCTGCCTGCTTGCTTGCTTGCTTGTTTGTTTGTTTTTTGTTTTCTTTTTGTTTATTTTGTTTATTGTTTGTGTGTTTGTTTCTTTTTTGCTTTTTTTTGTTTATTGGTTTGTTTGTTTATTTGTTCGTTTGTTTGTTTGATTGTTTTCTTTTTGTCTATTTGTCTACTTGTTTATTTGTTTGTTTGTTTGTTTTTTTGTTTGTTTGTTTTCGCATGTTCTTTTTTTGTTGATGTTTGTTTGGTTGGTTTTTTGGTTGGTTGGTTGTGTGTGTCTTTGTGTTGTTTGTTGTTGTTTTTTTGCTTCATCGCGTTTGTGGGTTTGTTTGTTTGTTTGCTTGCTTGCTTGTTTGGTTGGTTGGTTGGTTGTTTGTTTGTTTGTTTGTTTGCTTGCTTGCTTGCTTGGTTGTTTGTTGATTTCTTGGTTTGCTTGCTTCCTTGTCTGTTTGTTTGTTTGTTTGTTTGTTTGTTCGTTTGTTGGTTTGCTTGTTTGGTTTGTTGCTTCTTTGTTGGTGGTTAGGTCGGTTGGTACGTTGGGCAGGTAGGTAGTTCGGTAGGTTGGTTGGTTGGTTGTCGGGGTTTGTTGGTTTGTTGGGTTGTTGGCTGTCATTCTGTCAGCTGTCAGTCTGTCTGTCAGTTTGGTTGGTTGGTTCGTTGTGTTGCCCTGAAGCTTGCAAACACAAGTTGAGCGCCTGTGGGTAGGTTATCGTGTAGTCCCACAACAGTGTTTTCGTCCCCAGAAAAAACTCTGTCCCCAAACAGTCTCTTTTCGTTCTTGTTCCCGAAACATAGCGATGGTTTTTCCAGTAGACTCGCCTGCTAGATTTCACAGAGGGGTATCACCAAGAGATCGTCTGAGAGATTGCGCCGAGAGATGTCAAGGAGATGTCACGGAGAGATTGCTCATAATTTCATTCGACGATCTCCACCCTTGCAAATTGATGCGCAGAGGAATGCCCTTGATCTCAGCCCGTGGATGGGAAAGCGGAGCCACCTACTGAAGGCGGAGGCAGACGGCGGGCGCAGACTGCGGCAAGGGCGCCGGCGACGAGCTGCCTGGTGTGCCCTACCAGCAGTGTAAGACACACGCGCGCCACCATGGCCTTCTAGCCTTGGGCAATCGTGGAGACAGCCCGCGACCAAGGTTTGCGCCTTTGGAGAGGCTCCACAGGCGGTAGTTTTCTTCACCCGGTTGCGGATTCGGGCGTTTGTTCTCCTCAACGTTGAGGCCGTGCGCCCGCAGACTCCATTGAGCATTCCAGATTGAGCTTTGCGCACGGGATGCGCGTCGCAGACAGGCCACGTCAAGTCCATGTTTTTCAAGTTCGAAACTTGTGTAACATGGGCTGCGCGCCCGCGCTTTGAAGCGAGGGGTCCCAGGCTCGATGCGGAAACTCCTGCGTAGAACTTGCACAGAGAACTTGGACAGAGAAACTTGCACGGCCGTGTCATGAACTTGGACATCCTCACAACCAATCTGGAGTTAGCAGACCAATGGCCTTACAGAGGTCGGAGATGGTGGGCCATGATGTGGCCCCGCAGGTGAAACACGGTTGGCCTTCGCCCGAGGAGAGCGAGAACTTGCGCAGACGAACTTGTGCAAAGAAACTTGCCCACAGAGGGCTAGCGCAGAGAAACAGGCATTGAGAACTTGCGCAGACAAACTTGCGGAAGGAAGCTTGCCTGCAGAATTTGCGCAGAGAAGCTTGCGCAGAGAATATGTGCGGGGCAACTCCCATGGAGATCTTGAGCAGCCAAACTGATCTTGAGCAGAGACCGCTTGCAAAGAGAGCCTGCGCAGACCTGTTTGCGCAGAAAAGTAGAAGAACTTGAGGCAATTCTGCGCAGAAAGGCTTGCGCAAAAGACCTTGCCTGGCAGGGGTAGCTTGCGCATGTGGCTTTGGAGAATGTGGCGTCAGAATGCGACGTCAGTCAGGAATGCGGCGTCAGTGGGAATTGTGGGCGTGCGGCGTCAGGGGGGAATGTGGCGTATGTCAGTGTGGTGTCAGAATGCAGCGTGAGGGGGCAATGCGGGTTGAAGGAGAATCTGGCGTCAGGGAACGTGGCAGCGCAGGATTTTTGAGTGCAGCGTCAGAACACGGATTCACGTCAGGCAGAAAACGTCGCGACTTCTTAATTTTGCTGAGTGTGCTTTCCGTTGCCTCCAGCCATTGACACATGTTCCACGCGGGGATTGGCAACATTCATCCTTGGCCCTTTGAGCAGGTGGTTCTAACCTGGTTTCTTGTGGGTTGTAGGAAGGCCTAGATATACTGTAGACACCATGCTGTGTCAATGGGTCTTGGGCGCTGGACCAGGACAGAAGGGTTGTGGTGGAGCCTCCATTCGGCGTGGACAAGTTGCATCGGCTCACATGGTGCCCTTCGCCTGCGTGGTCCGCTCGGGTTGTCAGGTACATCTTGCTCAGCGGGCGGCAGCCTTTCTATGGGAAGAACAACAAGGAGATCATGAAGCAGGCCTTTTTTTTTTCAAGTATCCGGGTTAATGTTTACACACATACTTGAAGTTTAGGTTTAGGTTGACCCTGGCCGAAGGTGGGAAGTTGATCACAATGCCCCGATCAAAACACGAAGTCCCTAACAAGGGCCCCGCCAAGTGCTCGGAACATATTCCACCCGTGTCAGGGCCTGTGAAACAGATATTCCTGCCGTCAATCTCCCACCTGCCTGAATTTTGGAGCCGCGAACCCGGTTTAAACGAGAGCGCTGAGCCTGGTTTTTGGATGGCACGGGTTCAACTCATCATCATGTCCCCTACTGTACTCATTGCTGGTTGAACCCTCCACGAATATCCCAAGAGGTCAGAATTGGCATAGTGCAACCTCGCCTTGCCGCGCTCCAACATTCATGGAAGTCGACTAGAAAAGGTGAATGGTCACATGTCTCCGGAATCAATGAAAGTTGACTCTCTTCTTCGCCGGACCAATTCTAACCTAAAAAAATCAACGGCTCATCGGAGGATTCAGCAATCGCCCGCGCCCGCAAGTTTTGCGCCGGAGTCATGGCGCTCGCTGTCAATGATTCCTCTGAACAGGAAGTCCCTCACTCCCCATAGATGGCCGCAAAAAACAAGCTCACTCTGGCCGTCAGAAAAAATGGTACACCGCACCGGAGCCTCACCCTTTGAGGGCACACCAATTCCCATGCTTTCCAAGTATTTCATCCACAAAAGACCTAGTTGTTGAAAGTTGTTTTGAACGTGACCCTGCATGGTCTTTCTGACATCTTCCCTACTGTATCGGTTGATTGCACTTTCCGTCCCTTTTCAAAACCATAGGTTTGACGTGGCCATGAGCACTTCCAAGGAGTCTAGTCGTAAGACGGTGGCTTGCTATTCAACCACCCATTTGAGGTCAGATTTGTAGCATGACTGATTGCCAGCAGTTCCAGCGAGCTCGATCCATCTTTGGCTGCATGCATCTGAATCCATTCCTAGCTGGAAGGTTCCAAAGGGGAATCCCTGCAGAGAGCGAAAAAAAACACAGAGGTGTAATTTTGCACCCCAAGGCCTAGAGGCACCCTCGAAACATTGGACGGCATCGTGTCGGCGATTTTGGCATGTGCTTTTGGGGGTCCATGCCTTGCCGCTTCTCACGTGGTACTTTTGAGGAGTCTGTGGTAATGGCACCTTGGTAGCCGCCACCAGTTTTACCTTCTTGGGCCTCGGGGGAGGTTTGATGCTTGACTGCTGTTGGGTTGGATCTTTAGACTTCAACTTCTTGGGAAATCAAGTTGAATTTTCCACCAAATCCCCCAAGAATAGATTTTTTGTTTTAAACCTAAAACTAAAATCTTTTTAACAGGGGGGTCGTTTCAGCCACCCGGGCTGGACCTTCCTCGGGTTCAGCCGACGCGTTTCACCGCGCGAGTTGCCGAAGCCGGGTCAGGCGAAGAGCGGCCGCTTCTCCATGGAGGCAGCGCAGTGGCAAGAGATCAGCCCCGATGCCCAGGCGCTTAGTCAAGTGCTTGGACCGTTTTTTTCTCCTTTTTCTTCCTTGTTTTTTGTATGGGGGTCGTGGTTTGGGGTAGACCAGGGATCAGTGTTCTTTGTGATTTTTTTGGAATGGGCCCAGAACATGATTCGCAGAAGCTGAAAATCCGTTTGTTTTTGCCTTCCCTTTTTTTGTGGGCCAAGTTTTGCTCATGTTCAGGGTCCAAAGTCTTGGCTCATGGCTTCCATATCTCGCCCTGCATGTCTAAGTCCTGTGGATCCAGGTCAAGAATCACAGGGCAAATAGCAGATGCCTTTCCTACTTCACACAATCATTTAGAACATGGTCGTGGGGCACTTGAAAAGCACATGTAGTCATACTCATGGGGGTAAACTATTAGTAATTTGCGCCCCGGCCCAATTGTTGACCCCACATGAATCAACCTGCTGGATCATGGGATCTTTAGCTCAAAAGTGAAGGATCCTCTTCGAAAGGTGCCCCCGATAAATGAGTCAGATGTTTGGATACTGGGTTACACTTCAGCACATCTTCGCACACTGCTTTGAACATTGGCAGGGCGACGCCACTTATGTGAGATGCTTGTCCATTTTTGGAGGTTGATTCTACCGAGTTTTCTGGGCGTGGAGAGAAGGATTTTTGAGAACCTTTTTGTTTCCGTGGAGTTGCCCAAGTTTCTGACGGACTGGGTTTGATGACTCTTTCTCAGGTGCATTCAGGTGGATTGATAGGGGGGTGTGCCCTTTCAAGGGTTCATGGCCAATTGTGGAGGATGTTTCCCTTGAACCTCCTGAAGCACCTGAGGACCTCATCCGGCATCTGCTGGTGCTGGACCCCTCCCAGCGGCTCACAGCAGCCCAGGCGAGGCTGGGTTTATCTTTGTTTTCCCCCGCGGAAAGGGTGTGGTAGGGGTGAAATTGGGAGCTTCGTGGATGCTTCAGATGCGCTTGGTTCTGTGTGGCGATTGAACTTTGGCTTGGGTCCAAGTTCATGACTCATCTCTCAGCTTTTGTTTGCGGCTGGTTCACTGCGCACTGAAGCGGACCCCAACTCTGGCTTGGTGAGTTTGTCGGTACTTTGTTCTGGGCTTGGACAAGGCGACTCAGTCGATGCTTCCAGTACAGGGGGATCAACGCTTTCCAGGCCATCTCAGGATTTCAGACCTCCGTGCGAGTCACAGTCCTGAACTCTGGATTTCGCTCATCCCCTAGGCTCTGGAACACGAGTGGATTGCCAAAGGAGCTCCCCAAGCGAGCTGGAGCCTCTTCGGCCTAGACGGGCTGCCGCTTGGAAAGACATGTGGTGCTTGGGTTCGCGCTGAGCGCGTAGGGATTCAATAGCCATGTACGTTGACAAATACAGCGATAAATCAATACAGAAATGAATAAATACATGGATACCTGAATACATGCATACATAGATGAGACACACATTAACCCATAGACAAGCTAATAAATTGACACATTGAATACACACAGGTAAACACATCCGGAAGCAATTACACACAAATACAGACACTAAGACTAACTAATACCTGGCTAACTAACCAACCAACTACGAACTAACTTACTAACAAACTGACAAACTGACAAACTGACAAACTGACAAACTGACTGACTGACTGACTGACTGACTGACAGACAGACAGACAGACAGACTGACTGACTGACTGACTGACTGACTGACTGACTGACTGACTGACTGGCTGGCAAACGGACTAACTAGTTGAATGAATAAGTCACTACGTAAACAGATCAACTATTTAATTAGTATATATTTGTATATACACATTTGAGCCACATATATATATATATATATGTACAGATGCATACATATGTATGTGTATATATATGCTACGCCCCCCCCCCCCCCCCGGTGCCTAGGTTTTGCTTGATTTCAGCCCGCAGGCTGTAGAGTTTAGTGTTTTTTGCAATAGATTTTAAGCACAGACGAATGGGCTTGCAGTCCATCATGGCAAGATCCGAAATGTCCCAATATGACACCCTTTCCAAATAGGATTTTACTTCAACAGAATCGGAATTTTGGATATATGCTGGTTAGGATATAGTTTTCAAAAATGTGTTTAAATCCTTGCCAAATAGGAGCTACATGAGAACATAAGTATAGTTTCGGGCAAACTCCAACCAATCTTCAACAAAACAAGTTAGGAGTTTATTCCCAGATATAATCTGAGTGTTAGATAGAATCTAATACGAACACAACTCAGTTAGCTTTTCATAATAACAACTAAATAGAGACTACTTCTCAAATGTAGTTCATATTAAATATGGCTAAACATTTAAGGGACTTCTACAAGGAAATTCAAAATACGATTTGTGTTATTTATATCCTGGCCCTTTTGCAGCATAAGAAAGGTCCGAAATTAAACTTGTTTGACGGTGTTCCAAATGGAAATTTCAAGGGAAGAGAGGTTCAAATTCTACATCTTTTTCGACACAGGCTGAATCAGTTGTATTTAAAGTTCTATTTGCACAGGAAAACAACAATTATTCTATCTCAAAAGGCGGAGGTAGTAGATGAGCAAATGTGGAGAGGTAGTTCAAGAGGGGCGGTGACGGTGTGTGAACATACATATGCATGTATAAATAAAGATACTCACACACACACACACACATATATATATATATATATATATATATAGAGAGTACCCCTAATGATCCTGCGCCTCTTCATAAAATACTGTAAAATACAGTGTTTTTGAGCGATACACCTACCTTTGTTTACCTCCTGGAAAAGGGTCAACATGCTTCATAGCTAACATGAAGCAAACCGCTCACCAAAAGCACTTGAAAGTTTGTCTAACTAAGAACTTGAAAGTGTTTCCACTGGATCGCTAAGCACTTGAAAGTATTTTACCACTGAACGGAAACAATCACGATTGAAGATTACACACAACACGCTCCTGAAAATGTGTCAATCCTGGCCAAGCCCAAACAATCAAATTTCTTCTCACACTTGAACGTGCTTTACCATTGGATTGAGGATTCAATATCGAGGATTGCACAAACAACAACTTTCCTGAGAATCATCCATCCTGGTCAAACCCTAAAAATGATCAAGTTGTTTTAAAACTTCGAACGTATTTTACCACTGGATTGAAGATTCGAGATTGACATATTTCACGGAAAGCTTTTCCGAGAATCTCATTGAACACCGAGAGTATTGGGACATTTGTATTTTTATTTTATTTTTTTAAACGTATTTTAACAATTCTGGGATTCAAGATTCAAGATTCAAGATTCCCAGAAAAATATATATATTTTAAACCTTGAATCTTGAATCTTGAATCGCATTTTTTTTTTAATCATGAGATTCACTATTGAAGATTCAATATTTCCAAAAACATATTATTTGGAAATCTTGAATCTTGAATCCCATTTTTGTTTTGGGATGCAATATTCAATATTCCAAAAACCAGAAACGATTGTTTTGAAAAATTGAATCTTGAATTCCAGATTATGGAACGAGCGAACAATCTTGGGTCCAGAGTTCTTAGTTGTGTCTGAACAAATGACTGAAATCAAGCAACACCTAGGCACCAGGGGGGCGTACCATGTATATGTATATATATATATATATTATACACATGTCGCTTGGTCTTCTTGATGGAAGAGCAGGCATCTGCAGGCAAGTACTGCTACCGTTCCCAGCAGCAACCGTGGAACAAAGAAAGTCATGAACACATACACAAATCTACGATTGATCTCCGAAGCATTGCAGTGAATGTGTATTTCCTTCATTGACATGCACCATAGTGGTTAGATTAATTGGGAGAAGGGCAGTCGCAGCTTCCTGAGTTGGCTTCGGTGTGCTCCCATGTTGGATGGGAGAGTTCGGGCTGTACAAACCTCTCACAGATCTCTAGAAGGCTGGGAGTGCCAACGGATGGATTTCCCATTTGATTCTGACTCACACGACCATCGTTCACACCCGGGAGGGTACTGTGGGAGTTACCGAAGTTGGAGCTTCAAGCACGTTTGGTTTCAGCAACCGTTTGCCTGATATGGGCATGGGTCAAAATTAAACCACCAGGAATTGGCCCGCAGGTTAAATCGTCCAGGTTTCCATTTACCAGGGCAAGCCATTTTGGGGTTACCCTATTTTTGACCCACAGCCATATCGACCGGAAAGGGACGTGGGCGAAGCCGGGTGTCAGGAACATCATGGAGAACCTCCGCAGGTTCAGTGCGCACTCGCGCTTGAAACGGAGCGCCCTTCAGGCGGGCCACGTGCTCAAGACCGATTCGGTTAGATGAAGGTTAGTAAGGGACAATCCCCTTGCCATAAATAGCTGCGGATATCCGCCTTCGTAATTCTTGAAGCATGGTTCTGGGTAGATCTTCTTCATTCCCGGTTTTGATTCTGACTCAGGCGGGCCTTGGCAGATTGGTTCGGGTTCCGCTCATTTCTCGGGCAAGGCTCCGTTCGGGGGGCCCATGAATTTCTCTTCCGCACGCTCATCTCAGCCGGGCATAGCACTGCTCACCATGTTGTAACAGCAAAATGCCTGAAGTGGCCTGTACCACTTGGCATGAGACCACGGCAGCAAGAGGCTTCTGGAAGTCATTGTGTCAGAGAAGCCGCGGTTTGTCACGTGGTCGTGTGTTTGGGTCTCACATTGATCTCGGACCAACTTGTCTTGCTGGTTTTGGTGGTTTGCCGTTGACAAAAGTTCCGAAGCTCTTGGTCCCTTTCCACTGCCCAAGGTCCTCCGGGCAATTGGGCCCGAGAACTTTGTTTCCCACTATGAAGTGCTTATTCCTTCCAGAAAGGAGGGACACATCGGAACCTTCGGCCAAGTCTTTGTTGAATGATGAGCCCATGATCTCCATGGGTACCATGCAGATCTAAGACAGATCTCGCAGGTCGCGAGCTCATGTGCCGATTTTCTTGGTTGCATGAATCAATTTTCTAGAGGTTGATTCATATTCCTGGGCTCCGAAGGACCCCAGAAGTAGCTTCCCCCATCCCCATCCCATGTTTTTGGACCCCCATTTCCCAAGCCTGTTGGGCCATATGGAAAGACGAACTTTCCGGGTCGCGAAAGGCTGGGCAAGAGGAGGACTGCGGTTGGACGCGAAATGTCAGATTCAACCTCTGTCTCCTGGCTTTTTGCCAACAATTCCCTTTTTCTCGTCCTTACTAGGGTCTGAATTTGGGGTTGGACTCCGACAGTTAGGTCATTGCCACCCAGATGACTGACGAGAAGATCCAGGATCTGCAGAAAGCCTTCGAGGCCATCGACAAGAACGACGAACCTTGGGCAGGGGTTGATGCGCTTCATTCTGCATCAAACAATATCAACATCAGGGTTCGATCAAGTTGAAGCATTGTTAGTCCCCCATCTTGTTGGGACGAGGGGATTCGACCCTTTCGCCGAGCTCATCCTGAGGCGGCTCCTTTTTGCGCATTCAGCTCGCCCCTTTGTCTCTGAGGCTCTCGCTCACACTTTCCAAACAGACACGGCGCACGTTGCGGTAAAGACTCTTGGGGAATGAATTGGGGATGTCGTGTCTCAAGAGGGGAGACCCATTTTGTGCTGAAAGGAAGCCACCCACTTCTCTCGAGATGTCAGAGCGGCACTTTTCTTTTTTCTTTCTGATGCTGCCTGGCTGAAAATGGGGACCCTCCGTCTTCTTGGGTCCCCCCCAAAAAAAACGGGTTGGTCCAAAGGAAGGCCAAGACCTGAAGCTCGGGCTCCGAGTCTTATGACGATCGGTGGGGTTTTCTTCGCGTCGGACACCCAAAGTGCCGGGCCACACGAACCAGGCAGAGACAGAAACCGGAGGCCTAGACTTTCTTCTCCGATGCACATGTGTTTGGTATGTGTTAATTTAGGGGAAGCCCGAAATTGGGATTTCCATTCGGATGTCCATTTTCCTTTTGATTCTTTTTTTAGAGCAGCCCCAAAGGGGAACCCCCCCAAAATTGTGGATTTTACTTTCGGATTTGCGTTAAAGCACCCCCAAAAGGGCGGTCGCGGGTCGCATGTCGCCGAGGACGGCAAGGTGACGGTGGAGGAGTTGTGCGACGCGCTGCAGAGGAGAGGGGCGGAGCTGCCCAAAGATGCCCGAGAGGCCGTTTTGAGCGGCGGGAAAGCTCCTGAGTGCGGCTAAAAATCGGTTGGCATAGAAAAATAGAGGGCGATTCCTGGTTTAGCTGGTGGTTGAATCATCTACCAGGGCCATGTATTTCCCGTAAAAGGACGCCTATGTCGGTTGGTTTGTCTTTTTTGGTTTCCCAAGCCAACCTCAAAAAACTGCCCTCGGAAAAAGACAAACCCACCTCAAGGCCCCCAATACTTCATAAGGGTGTGCCTTTTTGAGACCCTTTCAGCATGGACTGGGCCTTCGAATGTATCGGAGAGCCCATTCGCAAGTACCCGCTGATTGGATTACGCGTAAGCTGATCTTGGGAGGAGATATAGAGAGAGGAGTCTGGATGTCTTCATCGCATTTGGAGGCATGTTGTAGTTAGCGGCACTTCAGTGGTGATTACCTGTGGGCGGTGGCCTTGACAATGCGAATTCCATGGAATTGGGCGGTCGATCAGGATGCAATCCCAATTTATATCACAGGTGCGATGTGCTCGAAATCTTGGTCCCTTGCCTCGCACAGCATGAACGTTATTGAACAAATGCTTGAAGGGCGCTGAACAAGGTCGTCGCAGGAATGCCACAAAGTTGGTGAATGCACTATGATAAAAGGCAGAGCGTTCCGACCCGGCGTCGAAATCAATGGGTTGTGCAGAGGTGAGGAGGATTTGCGTGGCCCTTTCCCGTTGGATGCCAATTCGCTTAAGTGGATGTCTCATGCTGGCATGACGAAGAGTGACTCAGTCAGTGAAGAGCTCCAAGGCGGCTGATTGTTCAATGTTGGAAACTCTTGACCCTTTTGAAAGGACAAACAGAAGGGAGCCCTTTCCAGTTGAACAACCCTCATCTATCCCAATGCAAGGGAATCACGACCCTTTCCAGCTGGCAAATCGGGGAGTTTTTTGTCCAAGAGGCTCCACTTCCGGGTTCCCAAATGACTGTCGGCTCGGTCTGATCTGGGATTTCTCATGCCAGAAAAGCACTCAGTCACATTGCGATGTTTAATCTTGCTTCAATGGACGCCAATAGGTTCGAATGCCTGGCAACCAAAAAGTAGATCTTCTCCACGAACAAGGCTTCAGTTTGTTTCTTCGGTACACCGCATTTGGCTGAAGCTGGGGGTTGGGGGGTCGATGTCGAAGCTCTGGCCAGACGTTGAGCAAGATGGACATCATGGAGAAAGGCGCGCGGTCGCTTTGGCATCCAACTGCGGTCGCTTTGGTCGTTCGACTTGCAGAGCCTTCGAGGTGAAGGAATCTCAGATCAGTGATCTGCAAAGAAAAAGAAGCTGAGCAGCTCACCATGTGAAGAGCTTCGGGGTGACAGCATATAGTTTTCAAGCTGGTCAGACAATTCGCTGCTGTCAATTCTATTTACCATGACGCACCGATTCCCGGCCGGATTCCCGCTACGTAACGCCAGACTTAGCTCGATCTTTTTTGGCGGAGGCTCGAGTCCGTCGAAGAAGACCCGCCAAAACGGGGGAAACGGACAAACACATCAGAAGGGAAATCCTCTTGCGATGGGCGGTTCGCACATTTTCCTGGGGAATTTGCAGTGGAATCCGCTGGTGCTGAATTTCCAGTATATTCCGCTGGTGCAGAATATTTTAGTGGCTTCCACGGGTTTCTCTTGTTCACGGGGAGAGATTTTCTCAGGGCACATCAGCTACCCCGAGTTCTTAGCCTCCGCGCTGGACGCCCGGGACTGCCTTTGTGAAGAGGCAGGGTCGGCGCCAAGCATAGGTTCGGTTCAGCCATAGGTTCGGTTCAAGTCTTGCTGCTTTGGATTCTATTTTGGATCATTTGGATGCAATATGAAAGGCCCATGCAAACCACCAAGAGGGGGAAGTTGTGAATCTCGATCTTAAACCATGCCCTTGGCAACTGCCTACTTTTACCGCCAGATTCCGCTGCGAGTTTGGTCGTCGCCACTTTCCACAAGGGCACCTAGGGCTGATGTTTGTGCTGAGACCCGAGAGACAGCATCGCACCAAAGTGTCGACGCGTCTTCATTTGGGCCAAGGGATCAAGACATCGGGAATCCATGTGTGAGGCGTGCTGGACGGCCTTCAAAGCCTTTGACGAGAACGACGATGGCCACATCTCTGCCAGCGAGCTGCTGACAATCTTGGAGCACCAGGCGTTGCAGGAGGGGCTTGCCACGGAGGGGCTTGCCAGGGATTGCAACTGTGGCTTGCGACTTTTGGGAGACAAGCAGCGAGGATTAACTTGCCTGGGAGAGACGAAAATCTGTTCGATTGAAAAGCCAAAGGGAAACGTGGCTCGCTTTTGCTGGAGCCTTTTCACCTCGGGGAAACCAAAAGGAGCCCCGAAACCATCTCGGTTCCAAATGGGTGGGTCTTACCGGAAGACCTCGAGAATGATTCGATTTTCGATTTTCCCCTGGGTTTCACTTTCCCAGAGGGTCCAAGTATCTTCTAAGAATTTGCTTGGACTCCTTTTTACCCCCCCAAAAGCCATCCTCAGGAGGTACTCTCAGTACCCTCTGCGTTTCAGACCAGCCAGAGTCGGGCACCACTCCAGCGACGAGCCCTAGGAGCTGCCGCAGTCACCGTCGCCAAAGAAGATGATCAGCGAGGTGGACGTCAACGGCACCGGCCAGATCGAGTTCGATGAGCCCCTAGCACATCGAGCTGAGCCCGCCTGTTTTTCTTTTCTTCTTTTTACACCCCATGGTGTGTGCGCGTGTTTTGTTCCGCGTTTTTGTGGGTGTGGGTTGGTTTTTGTGGGTGGGTTTACTTGAAGGTTGAGCATCCAGTTCTTTGGACCTGGGTGTTTCCCGCACTTGCCCGAGCGTTCACATCGCCGAAAGTTGCGGAGTGCAGTTTCTCCATCGGGGGTGACACACGAGCGATACACGAACTTGTGCCACGCAACTTTTTTGGCAATGTGAGCTGATGAAGCCCAAGGAACAGTGTCTGAAGCTTTTCAGGCAAGAACAATCGCTTCTGCAGCTGCTGTTCTGCTGCTGCTGCTGTTGTGGTTGCTGCTTCTTTTGCATTGAGTGTTTTGTGTTTTTCATTTGTGTGAGCGTTCTTGTCCTCATGTCGAATGAATTGCCGTGACCCTAGTTGTTTTTTTATTCTTGTTAATTACTGCTGTCGCGGGCTTTGCTTGTTCGTTTTCGTGGCTGCCTCGCTACCGCCATCGTTGTTGCCACTGATGGGGCTCGCCAAGGTTCATGAGGATGATCATTTCTGAACGCGAAAACCCTTCACGGGTAGAGACGGATTGACGGATTCTGGTGCTCGGCTCCACTTTTGAAGCGGGTTGCTTGGGCAATCGGGGTGGATTGTCCATTGGATTTGACAACTGCCTTGTTTGCATCTTGGTAGCATCCCTGGCAAGCTATGCAAAGGTTTGCGGCGCAGAATTGTCATGTTTCAGCGCCAAAAGCATATGTTCCTGCCCGCATCAATCCATCCATCCATCCATCCATCCATCCATCCATCAATCAATCAGGCAAACAAACTTGCGTGACAGTTGTATGGAGCCCCCCTAGAGTTGCCCGCTTCCTCCGTGAATTTGCGGGTTTGCGGGTCCTGTGTTGGCCTCGGGGAAGTCCATTTGAAGCTTGGCATCACTTTGCGCTCTTGAGACAAAGATAAGGTTTCTTCGGCTTTGGGAGGACAAGACACCATCGAGGTATACGCTAGGGATGGTCATGTATCCTGGTGGGACATGGAGCAATGGTTGGGAATGAAGCTGACGGTTATGGGGCTGGAAGAACCCAACGGTTTGGCAAGTGCGAAGTGGATGCCATGTTCATTGTAGGAACAGAACTGGTTGCCCTGACACGTTGGAGCAGACTTCGCTTTTCGTTTTGCCACCAGGGCTGGCGAAGCAACCTCTGGAGCGAGCAAAGCTATCTCACAGCACTGGCCGACCGATTGTGCCGATTCTCTTTCTTGAGCTTGACCGTTTGATAGGTTCATTTGGAAGATCCCCTTTCTTTCTATATTTAAGTGAAGGATTTGCTGAGGATAGGGAGGTCACAGCGGTCAAGGGGCATCGATTGGATTACGACGCGTTTTCGCAAATTTGACCGCAAACGTCGAAAAAGCCTTGGAGTCCCGCTGAAAATGGCAGGTTTCTGGGGCTTTCCATGGGGAGTTCCTACTTGAGCCAGCAACTGAGCTTGCCCACCCTTTTCAGACACTGGTCATCGGTCGCAAGGAAGCTTCGCCATGTTTGACGTGAGAAACTCCCTTGTGTGCGGATTTTCCGCGTTTCATGCGGGAGTGTCATTTTTTGGGGACCCCCCCCCCCAGATGATGGGTTGTCCTTTTGGTTTCCCTTAAAACCAATCCAAGAAGGCTATCCTCAAAACCGACACGCCCATGTGATTTCCAGAAACCGCGCATGGCGCAATAAGTTGAACGGCAGTCGAAGTATTAACACCTCGAATTTCAAGAGGTTGCCATGATGGGACTGGTTGCCTTAGATGGGACTTGCTGGAATCCGAGAGGCATCCCTGTTGATGCACTTTTGCCTGTCAGCTCACACGTCCTCCCATCCAGGATCCAGGACTCTCCGCCTTCTTTTTGGGGTCCGAGACCTTGGGGATAGCCATTCGTGTCAGCAGGATCCCTTGTTGCGTTCATTTGACTCAACTGAAATATTGGAATGTTGGCAAATGGGTGTGGGGGCTGAGTTTGATGTCTCATCGCAAGGGACATTGTATACGCAAACGGCCGGAGTTCACTAATTTTGCACATCCCGGCCCTCCAAGTTTGCCAAAGAACAATGGCTTGAAGCTTTGTGCCTTGGCAGAGTGCGGACATCCAAGATTCATTGTTGACTTTGGCTTTGAGGAGGCTCTGCAGCATGGATGTCTGCTCCAGTTGCCCTTGGTATCTTGCAAGGAAGCAAGGTAGCTATGGGCACAACGTCAAACGCCTAGAAGGAATCGCTACAAGCGTGGATTGCTTGTCAATGGTAAGGTTCATGAATCAAATCTTCTGAAACACGAGGATCCTCATGCCCAAAAGCGGGTTTCTTGTCGGAGACCTCGGCCCTTTCCCAATTGAAAGTCCACGAGATAGGAAAAGGCGCCCGTCTCGCTCGTTTTGCTCGAGCCTGCGAGCAGAGCCTCTGGGGGCTGCAGACATGGTGAAAGCTAAAGGTTGGTTCATCTTGAAGGGGGCTTCATATCCTTCTGGGTTTGCATGGCTTGTTCTTCAGGGCCGTACCTATTCGTGATCGCGTCATGGGTTCTGACGGACTCAGCTGAATGCCCGGCCTTGGCTTTGCAACCCTCAAGAAACCGGGCACATGTCCGGCAAAGGGCGCAAGACAAAGTCCATTCGGTGGATCTATCTGGAAGCAACACCCAAAGACTTGCTGGTTCTCAGCAGGGAATGAGGGAATGACCCCAACCAACCATCCCCTGTGGCGTCCTTTAAGGGAATCCCGAGGTTCATTCTTATTCGAACTCGCTAAGTCATTCCCTACCCATCACACCAGCAAGCAGCACAGGGCGTCCCCATGGCGTTTCGCCCGGCCATCGGCCAGAAGTACGCGCGGCTGCGGCAGCCGAAGCCTTTGGCCAGTTGGGGTTCGCCCCGTTTTTCTGGGCGCTGCCCAGCGAATGGTCCGGTTCAACTTGGGTTTTTCGCCACAAAAGTGACAAAGTTAGTGGGTCAAGGTTCAACTCGGGTTGAGTGGGTTTGGCCGAAAAGTCTTAACTTTGTTGGGTGTCCGAAAAAATCACCACCAAGGTTCGTCACTTGTCGCAGATCTGAAAACGGACAGCCCTCGTTTTGGTATGTTTTGGTGACAGGCGAGGACTTGGAAATTCTTCGATCGAAAAAGTGAGGCGCAGCCACCCGTGTTGAGTGAGGCAAACTCGGGAATCCGCTGCCCCTTTGGTTTTTTTTAGGTCATGATTTCGGTTTGGGGTTGGGGACACTGGGTGGCGATTCAGGGTTCAGGATGCAACGCTGGGTAGAGTTGACTTGGGCCCCGAAGCTTTGTTACATCCCGAAGCCTAAACCGCCAAGTCATCCTTGGGTGGCGGTTCAGGCTTTCTGTGAAGGGCACTGTAAAGTTGACTGAGGCCCCATTTTGTATGAAATAGGATGACTTGGCGGTTTAGGGTTCGGGATGTATCACTGGGTAGCGATTTAGGGTACTGGGTGCTTTTGTGAAGGGTGCTGTAGAGTTGACTTAGGCCTCAAAGTCTTGTGTAAAATTGGATGAGTTGGCGGTTTAGGGTTCGGGATGTAACACAGGGTGGCGGTTTTGGGTTCGGGATGCAACACTGGGTGCCTTTGTGAAGGGTGCTGTAGAGTTGACTTAGGCCTCAAAGTCTTGTGTAAAATTGGATGAGTTGGCGGTTTAGGGTTCGGGATGTAACACTGGGTGCTTCGTTGAAGGGCACTGTAGAGTTGACTTAGTCCCCGAAATTATGTGAAACATAGGATGACTTGGCGGTTTAGAGTTCGGGATGTAACACAGGGTGGCGGTTTTGGGTTCGGGATGCAACACTGGGTGCTTTTGTGAAGGGTGCTGTAGAGTTGACTTAGGCCTCAAAGTCTTGCGTAAAATTGGATGAGTTGGCGGTTTAGGGTTCGGGATGTAACACTGGGTGCTTCGTTGAAGGGCACTGTAGAGTTGACTTAGTCCCCGAAATTATGTGAAACATAGGATGACTTGGCGGTTTAGAGTTCGGGATGTAACACAGGGTGGCGGTTTTGGGTTCGGGATGCAACACTGGGTGCTTTTGTGAAGGGTGCTGTAGAGTTGACTTAGGCCTCAAAGTCTTGTGTAAAATTGGATGAGTTGGCGGTTTAGGGTTCGGGATGTAACACTGGGTGCTTCGTTGAAGGGCACTGTACAGTTGACTTAGTCCCCGAAATTATGTGAAACATAGGATGACTTGGCGGTTTAGAGTTCGGGATGTAACACAGCGTGGCGGTTTTGGGTTCGGGATGCAACACTGGGTGCTTTTGTGAAGGGTGCTGTAGAGTTGACTTAGGCCTCAAAGTCTTGCGTAAAATTGGATGAGTTGGCGGTTTAGGGTTCGGGATGTAACACTGGGTGCTTCGTTGAAGGGCACTGTAGAGTTGACTTAGTCCCCGAAATTATGTGAAACATAGGATGACTTGGCGGTTTAGAATTCGGGATGTAAAACAGGGTGGCGGTTTTGGGTTCGGGATGCAACACTGGGTGCTTTTGTGAAGGGTTGTAGAGTTGACTTAGGTCTTGTGTAAAATTGGATGAGTTGGCGGTTTAGGGTTCGGGATGTAACACTGGGTGCTTCGTTGAAGGGCACTGTAGAGTTGACTTAGTCCCCGAAATTATGTGAAACATAGGATGACTTGGCGGTTTAGAGTTCGGGATGTAACACAGGGTGGCGGTTTTGGGTTCGGGATGCAACACTGGGTGCTTTTGTGAAGGGTGCTGTAGAGTTGACTTAGGCCTCAAAGTCTTGTGTAAAATTGGATGAGTTGGCGGTTTAGGGTTCGGGATGTAACACTGGGTGCTTCGTTGAAGGGCACTGTACAGTTGACTTAGTCCCCGAAATTATGTGAAACATAGGATGACTTGGCGGTTTAGAGTTCGGGATGTAACACAGGGTGGCGGTTTTGGGTTCGGGATGCAACACTGGGTGCTTTGTGAAGGGTGCTGTAGAGTTGACTTAGGCCTCAAAGTCTTGTGTAAAATTGGATGAGTTGGCGGTTTAGGGTTCGGGATGTAACACTGGGTGCTTCGTTGAAGGGCACTGTAGAGTTGACTTAGTCCCCGAAATTATGTGAAACATAGGATGACTTGGCGGTTTAGAGTTCGGGATGTAACACAGGGTGGCGGTTTTGGGTTCGGGATGCAACACTGGGTGCTTTTGTGAAGGGTGCTGTAGAGTTGACTTAGGCCTCAAAGTCTTGTGTAAAATTGGATGAGTTGGCGGTTTAGGGTTCGGGATGTAACACTGGGTGCTTCGTTGAAGGGCACTGTAGAGTTGACTTAGTCCCCGAAATTATGTGAAACATAGGATGACTTGGCGGTTTAGAGTTCGGGATGTAACACAGGGTGGCGGTTTTGGGTTCGGGATGCAACACTGGGTGCTTTTTGTGAAGGGTGCTGTAGAGTTGACTTAGGCCTCAAAGTCTTGTGTAAAATTGGATGAGTTGGCGGTTTAGGGTTCGGGATGTAACACTGGGTGCTTCGTTGAAGGGCACTGTAGAGTTGACTTAGTCCCCGAAATTATGTGAAACATTGGATGACTTGGCGGTT